CATTTTCTGATGGGCACTTAAATTGCTTCCAGCACTTGGCTGTTGTAAATTGTGCTGCTGTGAACATTGGGATGCATAGGTTCTTTTGAATTGGTGATTCAGGATTCTTAGGGTATAATCCCAGCCATGGAAATGCTGGGTCAAAAGGCAGTTTCATTTTCATTTTTCTTAGGAAATGCCACAGTGGCTGCACCGCTCTGTATTCTCACCAACAGAGAACTAGGGTTCCTTTTTCTCCACAGCCTCACTAGAACTTCTTCATTGATTTGTTTATGATGACCATTCTGATGGGTGTGAAGAGGTATCTCATTGTAGTCTTAATTTGCATCTCTCTGATAGCTAGTGATGCTGATTTTTTAAAGAGATGGAAGGAGAGAGAAAGGGAGCCATTAATTTGTTGTTCCATTAATTGATGCATTTGTTGGTTGATTCTTGTACATGCCCTGACCGGGTATCAAACCCACATTCTTGGTGTATCATGACGATGCTGTAACAACCTGGTCAGGGATGGGTTGCCTCTTTAATTTCAAAATCGTTGTTTGGGAGGGTGTGAGAAATTGTGTAATGTAATGAGTTGTGACCGTGCTGACTGCAGATCAGTAATTGCTGTTGTGTGTAGGCAGATTATTCCTAGACTTCAGTTCATGAAAATCTTCTACTGCTCAGGTAGTTGGTAACACCCACTAAGGAATACCTGAGTCGCCACCATCTCCTAACATATAGCTCTTTTTTCATGTATGTTTTAGTGTAATGAGAATGAGGAAATTTTTTTCTAACCTTTGTGTTTCATCCCTTTTCTTTTGTTTCTTTGAATTTTGGGCTCTTTAAAGGCAGAGTTTCTGGGTCCTCTTAGCCCTGTTAAAACTACAGTTGTCTAGAGATAGTTCTGTTGTTTCATTAAACACATGTCCTAAATCCCTTTCCTTCAGTTACATAAAAGGTAAAAAGTCAAATAAGAGCTCAGAGGCCTTAAAGTGACATCCTTTGTGAACTCAAATGATAATGTCAGGGGAACTGGTAAATATTCAGGTGATGGCTTAGGTGTTGGTTTTGAATTTTTCCTGCTCCATTTTTCTTGGCAAGATTCTGCCACCTATTTGGCTAGCTTTTAGTATACCCTTGAATGCAGTTTGTTTTTTATTATGCCTTTGGGAAAGGGACTGAATCCAACGGCTCTTATTGGCAGGCCTCACACTTCTTTGTGATTTAGTGGGAAAATCCAGGCCTTGGACTCTAACAGATAAGACTGTGGTCCCAATTTTAATTCTTCCACTTAGTGGTAGTCTAACTTTGGGCAGGTTCTCTAGCTTATTAAGCCTGAGGTCCCACTTTGCTGAATAGGTTTGAGGGTTTGTGAAACCCTGTTTAAAGAGCACCAGTACAGAGTAAGTTCTGGCCCTCCAGTAGTTCCTTACTTGTGGGAGCAGCTAAATAAATTGACACTTAATATGTATGAAGTCCATCACATACCTTAGTATTATTATCCTGACAGCCACATGAGGCAAGTCCTATTGTTCCCATTGTGAACAAATTGAATCAGAGAGGTTAATCCTGAGGGAATCAGGATTTGAACCCAGGCCAGTTAGCTTTGGAGTTAACCTTGTCAACCAACACATCCTGCTTCCTCTGTTAATAGTCTGAACAAGACAACAAAGTCCATGCTCAGAAACAGTATACATTTTGGACGTTTTAATGGGCCAAGTGCATAAGGCTGTTTCAAAAAGAAGACTGTTTCAAGCCCCACATGAAGTGTACAAGCTATTTTTCCTTGGTTATAGACAACTTTCATCTCACTAAGAATTGCTATAGATGCAAAATTGTGTATTTTATGGATCATCATATATCAAGAAAATAAATATTTGTGGACTGTTTATGTCATTCAACTTAAAAATATCTGATTTGATTTTAAAAATTACAGAATTTATAACCAAAAACTATGTTGTAGAGCAATGTCTAAAAAGGCAATCATGTGCTATGTGTTCAAATCATAGAGAAAATTTTAGGTAGAACAACACATATATAATTTGGGGAAGGGCCAGCACTAACATTAATGATTTGAAAAAAAAGCAGTATACTTTTCTCGTTAACAAAATTTTACAGACTTTGGTATAATTGACATTGAAATAACTAGGATCTATTCTTCTGATTCTGTTGATTATTAACAGAACAGAAAGAGGATCATGGTCATCTTATAGCTATACATTTTTACCTTACGTTTAAGGTGTGTTAAGAAAAAAGATTTAGTGATTTCCAGCCAAGATGGAGGCATAGGTAGATATGCTTTGCCTCCTCATACAACCTAAAGAAGAACAAGTTTAAAAACAGAAAATAACTAGGATTGCCAGAAAATCAAACCTACAACCAAGAAGTTAAAAATTCATCCAGATTGGTAGGAGGGTCAGAGACAGGCACCTGGGTCAGAGAGGAATAGCAGTAAGGTGGCACTTGGAGGGCTGGGTTGGGTGAGGGAACAGGCCATTCCACATTTCCACACGGATAAACCAGAAAGAACAACTGGGGAGTGAGGTAGATCGCACAACCCAGGTTTCCAGTGCAGGGAAATAAAGCCTTAAAACCTCTAACTGTAAAAGCCTATGGGTGTTGCAAGGGCAGGAGAAACTCTCAGCCTCACAGGAGAGTTCAGTGGAGAGACCCACAGGGTACTACAATGTACACAAACTCACCCTCCCAGGAATTAGCACCAAAAGGGCCCAATTTACTTGTGGGTAGCGTGGGAAGTTATGAGAACCAACCAAGAGCTGAGCAAGTGGCATTCTTCCCTCTCAGACCCCTCCCCCACATACTGCACCACAACCCAGCTAAGCAGGTTGCTTTGCTCTGGCAAATACCTAAGGCTTCGCCCCTTACTACATAACAGGTGAGCAGACATAAAAAATATGGCCCAAATGAAAGAACAGGTCAAAGCTCAAAAAATAGAACTAAGCAATGAAAGGATAGCCAGCCTATCAGATGCAGAGTTCAAAACACTGGTAATCAGGATGCTCACAGAAAAGATTATGATGGAAAAAATAGAAAAAGTGAAGGCTGTAGAAAGTGAAATAAAGGAAAATGTACAGGGAACCAACAGTGAAGGGAAAGAAACCAGGACTCAAATCACTGACTTGGAGCAAAATGAAGAAATAAGAGTTCACAAAACTGAGGACAGTCTTAGGAACTTCCAGGACAACATTAAACATTTTACAATTCGAATCATAGAGGTGCCAGAAGGAGAAGAGCAAGAGCAAGAGATTGAAAAATGAAGAACTTCTCCAATCTGGCAAAGGAAATAGACTTTCAGGAAGTCCAGGAAGCTCAGAGAGTCCCAAAGAAGTTGGGCCCAAGGAAGTACACACCAAGGCACATTACATTACCTAAGATTAAAGAGGAGAGAATCTTAAAAGCAGCAAGAGGAAAGGAGACAGTTGCCTACAAAGGAGTTTCCATAAGACTGTCAGTTGATTTCTCAGAAGAAATCTTGCAGGCAAGAAGGGGCTGGAAGGAAGTATTCCAAGTTATGAAAGGCAAGGACCTTACATCCAAGAATACTCTTATCAAGCAAAGCTCTCATTTAGAATGAAAGGTCAAGTTAAAGGAGTTCATCATCACCAAGCTCTTATTATATAAAATGTTGAAGGGATTTACCTAAGAAAAAGAAGTTGATGAAAAGTATGAACAGAGCCCTGGCTGGTGTAGCTCAGTGGATTGAGCACAGGCCCGTGAAGCAGAAGGTCACTGGTTTGATTCCCAGTCAGGGTACATGCCTGAGTTGCAGGCCAGGTCCCCAGTGGGGGGCCATGTGAGAGGCAACCACACATTGATGTTTCTTTAACTCTTTCTCCTTCCCTTCCCCTCTCTCTAAAAATAAATAAATAAAATATTTAAAAAATATGAACAGTAAAATGACAACAAACTCAACAACTATCTCCAACTGAACCTTAAAAAAAAAACCTAAGCAAACAACTAGAACGGGAACAGAATCACAGAAATGGATATCATATGGAGGGTTATCAGCGGGGAGGGTGCTAGGGAAGAATCGGGGAAAAGGTACAGGGAATAAGAAGCATAAATGGTAGGTACAAAATAGACAGGGGAGGTTAAGAATAGTATGGGAAATGCTGAATCCAAAGAACTTGTATGTAGGACCCATGGAAATGAACTAAGGTGAGGGAATGCTGGTGGGAGGGGCAGGTGCAGGGGGGAGGAGAAATAAAGGGGAGAAAGAAAATGGGACAACTGGAATAGCATAATCAATAAAATATATTGAAAAAAGATTTAGCATAAAAGATCCTCTGGTTTACATCATCAGATGGGACACTTTTTTCTGGCCTATCTGATGCCACATTATGTTAAGGTAAGTAGCTTTACATAGGTCTGCTTTGTTATGACAGTGCAGAATGGCTACCTCACAAAAGGACTATAAAGCTTGGGTCATTTGTATGAATAAAGGTTCCTACTGGGTTGTAGCTTTTCTTGAATGAGTCTTTAAAAGGGTAGAGAAATTGAAATGAGTTTAGAGAACTAAGGAAAATGAGTAGTATCAGAATGATAGCTGTGGGGGTACAGAAAGATGGGAGCTTTGTGTTAGAAGGTGTGCTAAAGCTCTTTCTTGAGAATAACAGCTAAACTGCATTTCACCGTCACTAAGGTCTGGGGCTGAAATTACACATACATATATTTAGGTTGGTGTTGCAGAAGATGCTGTGAAAGGATGTGGTTAACAAGGAAAAGCATGAAGGTTCTTCTGGGATCCTTTAAAGTAGAGAGTGGTTCAGTTTGGATCCTATGAGATGGTAGAGAAAGCAACCTGATGAAGAGTCTGATGAGTCAAGTGCAATTTTTTTAGTCATTTTTGAAATGCCCTTCATCATCTAGCTTCACAATGGCTGCCACCCAACTCTTTCTTCTGCCCAGGGGAGTCCTGGGCAAGAGAACGTTGTTGCCTGCTTCTATTCATGGTGATCATAGCTTTATGGGAATTTTTTTTTAAATGTCCCCTTTAGGAAAAGTTTGGGAGTTGCTGGTCTGGAACTCAGGATATCTTCTAGCCCTGCTGGTCTGAGACCCTTTGTGACTATGTGACTTGGGTGAGAAAGAGAATTAATCACTCTTGCCTCTCTGTGGAGACTCTTTCTCTTTGGTTTTTGTTTTCTCATTTTGCCTTTGGTTTCTGATTTCTCTTTTTAGCTAACCTAATTAAATTAATGTTTACCTATTCCTTTCTAGTTAGAGTTCTCTAGCATTCCAAACCTCAAGCACTGAATCAGGATGGGAAAAAGACGTTGCGTTCCTCCACTCGAGCCCAAGTTGGCAGCAGGCTGTTGTGGGGTCAAGAAGCCCAAGTTATCTGGAAACGGAACGCACGCTCACGGGAACCAATCCACAACTGTCCCTGGCTCTAGTTCAGGACCTCTTCAAAACCACCAGCATGTGGATGGCAGCAGTGGTCGGGAGAATGTGTCAGACTTAACTCTGGGACCTGGAAACTCTCCCATTACACGAATGAATCCCGCATCGGGAGCGCTGAGCCCTCTTCCCCGACCCAATGGAACTGCCAACACCACCAAGAATCTGGTGGTAACTGCAGAGATGTGCTGCTACTGCTTTGATGTCCTCTACTGTCACCTCTATGGCTTCCCACAGCCACGACTTCCTAGATTCACCAATGACCCCTAGTGAGTAAATCCATCAGGACAGGGGACAATGAGAAAACCATGATGGCATCTTTCTACTAGTATAAATAGAGAGAGTCTGCTACTTACAAAATCTTTAACATGATATGGGCACAAGGGAGCAGGAATACGATGATAAATGTCTAACAATATTTGTAATGTTCACTGAATTTGGTATTGGAAGGGGACTAGGTTATATTTAATTTCTCAAGTGGAGAGGTCCACTATCACGCCATTGTGGACCCCAGTAGTGTTGACTCCGAGTGAATTGGGAGTGTCTGAGGGCCAGGTTAGAGACTAGGAGCTCATTTAGTGGGAGCTGTAATGCTCTTAATAAAGGTCCCCACTTTGTTCATTGGCAATCCTAATTCCACAGGACCACTGGCATTTCACCCAGAATGTCGGAATCTGCTTTACTGTTTTTAATTCAAGACTCTATTGTTTGTCCCCAGCCTTCTCATGTGTCAGTGATGTAAACAGGGAGTGTGTATAAAGCTTAAAGTGAAGAAACTCATGCTAATGTTTACTCCTTTCTCAGAATTGGAAGCAGATCTGAGCTAGCTTGCAAGAGCTTGCTTCCTTTTATTTTTTTAATAAGATTTTGTTTATTTTTAGAGAGACAGGAAGGAAGGGAGAAAGAGGTAAAAAAACAAACTATTGCTCTGTCTCTCACACGCCCACAGCCAGGGACCTGGTGCACAACCCAGGCATGTGCCTTGACTGAGAATCGAACCAGAGACTTTTTAGTTCGTAGGGTGATAGCCAACCCACTGAGCCACACCAGTCAGGGCTAAAAGAGCTTTTTGGTTTTGTTTTTCAAAAATGCTTTTGGAACACTCATTGCCCTGAGGTCATTCATTCCTTAGCTGTCAGTGCATAGTAAGGCATTGCACAGTCCTAGTGGACAGGGAATGGAGGGGCATGAAGAAAAAATCCTTGTTCTTGGGATGCTTGTTGAGATGGCAAACCACACATACAAAGCTAAATATTGTGTGGCACAAAGTGTGGGCAGAGTATAGGGGAAGTCACTCGTGTAAATTGCGTCAGGAAAGAGAATATGTAGAGAAAAAGCCCTAACTGTTCAGGGCAGTACTGCCATGGTAAAACAAACAAACAAACAAACCCTACTGAGCAGGTTAAAATGCTCAGCTTTGGTCTGAGTGGGATTAGGTATATCCTGGAAAGGAGAGAGACACAGGTTTGGAGAAGTGTGTGGTGGCTGCAGCATTGCAGGCTGTTATAGCCAGTGGTTTATAGTCTCATCTTAAAGAGAGTGGAGGAATACTTGGAGGGTTTTTGAGTGGGTGTTGAGACAGTAACTCTGGCACGTGCTATTCAAGTGTTTTAATGCAAGGGAAAGATATATAGATAGGTAAGGGATTGGTTTTGTAATAGTGATCAAAGAAGTAGGTAACTTTAAAGTTTTAATTTGCTTTTTAGAAGTGTTTAACTTAAGAATCTAAGAAGGAAAGGTATAGGAGTTTGGCAGAATCTGAGGATTAGGGACAGACCTGTGACCTCTTTCTAAAAAAACCTGTCACCATCAATCCGATGTAGCCTGATGAATGAATCATGGCTTTGGCTTAGAAACAGAGAATGGCAACTTCTAAAAATGAGCTCTCTTCTGGAAACATGGTTTTTCTTTCCTGAACACTTAAGAGCAGGAAATATTTATAGTTGCCAGTGGCAGAAATAATTATGGGAACAATATGGGGTTGCAGCAAGTGCTTGCAGGTAAGGAAGAGGTGTATAAGTCTAGTGTGTCTTCATGAAGGATGGAATTAGGGAATTTGGACATTCAAAGTAGAGTAAAGAAGAGGAGAAAGACAGAATTAAAAGGAAAAAGTGTAATACTGAACTTTTTTCAGGACTGGCTCTGAGGAATAGAGGAAGAGGAATATAGCACATACATGTGGTATCTAAACTGACAGCAAGGCACATAGGAAAGGTTGCCCAGAGAGCCTAGCCTGTCTTCATGCTGCCTTGTCGTGAGTTATCCTCTCATTTCCCTTCAGGAACTACATGATTCCCAGAAAGGCAGAGAGTCCTTCAGATAGCTGCCAGTTCAGAAAACAATCTGTTTGGGGAATAACAAATGAACAGGAATAAAGCCAAGGTTTTGTTCTTACCCATGATTAATTTGGGGCTGGAGAGTGTTTTGTGTTTTGCTTTTTTAGTCCGCTCTTTGTGACATGGAAGACAGGGCGGGACAAGCGGCTTCGTGGCTGCATTGGGACCTTCTCAGCCATGAATCTTCATTCAGGACTCAGGGAATACACGTTAACCAGGTAATTAAATGAGGCCTCAGATAGGCGGAATAATTGGCAATCAATGTATCTATGAAATGGAAAACAACTGCCTGACTTTATGTCTTCTAAGAAATAAAGAATGAACATTCTCTTTTTAATAATCAGGAAATGGGGAGTTTTAATCTGATGAGTCACCACTTTAATCAAGTATAGACAGTTAATAGAATCAAGTTTTTTAGCACATGAGTATTAATGGGTGATAAAAATTGAGCTAGTCTCTACATAGCTCAAGTTGTAAATATTCAGGCACATGCTGCCAACTCCAGAGTAGCCTCACTTATGTTTTTTGTTCTCTTCCAGTGCACTTAAGGACAGCCGATTCCCCCCTCTGACCCGAGAGGAGCTGCCTAAACTTTCCTGCTCTGTCTCCCTCCTTACTAACTTTGAGGATGCCATTGATTACCTGGACTGGGAGGTGAGAACAGCTGCATTTGGAACTCTGCATCTCTCGTTGCATTTGGGTTCGGGTTAGTACATGGTAATGTATCTCCTTCATTGAGAGGGCATAAGAATGTGAAAGCTAAGCTTGGAAGCAATTGTGAGCAACATAGGTGACAGAAAAGGTGCTACAATATTAGAAGCAGAAAGAGTTATGAAGATCTTCTTCTCTTTCTTCCCAGTCCACTCTTGTTCACATCCTCCTCCCATGTCTAATAAGAAAAAATAATGAGGATAAAGCACAATATTCCAGATCCCTCTGGGTAAGCCCTTGAGTAAAAGTTATTAGAGTCATTTGTGAATAGTCATGAACCCAGATCAAAACTCTGTGGTATGTTCATATTAATGGAAGAGATAGTAGGTAGACTATTCAAGATTATTACACAAGCTACTGAAATAATTTATTTTTGCAATCTTTATACTCTCAGAGCTGGCTACATGTAGAATCACACCTTATTTCAAGCTAAATTTTTTTTTTGGCTTTTATACCTGAGAGTGTATTAGTGATGATAATCAACAGGTTCTCCTTTTCTCAGTCCTGGATCAAGCTGGTGAGGGGACAATGTTAGTTTATATATGGACAGCTGAAGTTCCCTTAGAATAAGTAAATGCTATTTATTTGGTTGTGGGGTTTTTTTCCTCATAGGTAGGGGTCCATGGGATTCGAATTGAATTTGTCAATGAAAAAGGCATCAAACGTACAGCCACATATTTACCTGAGGTTGCTAAGGAGCAAGGTGAGTTGGACAAATGGAATTTCAGTAAACGATACTTTATTGTGTTGCTGACTAAAAAGCAGGAAAATGGAGTGTGTGTCTTTCACCCCAACTGCAACTAAGAGTGAGTGCCTTTTTTCCTCTTAATATCTATAAAATTCTTACAGACTGAAAAAAATTAACTCTCTTCAAGATGCAGAAACTGGGGAAGGGGGAAGGAGGTAAAGATTTCTCCTCCTTGCTTAATTCACTTTCAGTGAATAGCTTTATTTATTGTCCTCCAGGATGAGTAATTATAGCAAAATTCCACAAATCAACTTGACCATATTTTGGAGTTCATTGTTAAAGGGAAGCTGCATGTATTGGGGTTTTGAACTCTTGGTCATAAATTATTACACAATATTATGCTTAGAAAAAGACAAAACATAACTTTTTTTAATAAAGAACTTGGGAGATGTGGGGAAAATAACTTGGTAGTTACTAAGTTCTTAACTGCAACATTAAAGGGTAGGACATAGGTTGGGCAAGTTTTCTCTTTAAAAGAATACATTTAAATGTTGCCTGTACATTAATGATATGTAGTTTAGTATATTAGTGAACTAATATACTTAGTTCACTATACTTAGGGAAGGAGAAAGAGAAGGAGAGAAACATCAATGTGTGAGAGATAGATCAATCAGCTGCCTCCCACACATCCCCAACTGGGGACCAGGCCCACAACCCAGGCATGCACCCTGACCAGGAATTGAACCAACAACCTTTCAGTTTGCAGGCCAGGGCTCAATCCACTGAGCCACACCAGTCAGAGTGCCTTGTCGGTTTTTATTGTGGTTTTGTTTAAACTTTTTCAAGAGTAGTGTGGATATGACATAAAAAATTAATAAATCTAACATTTTTTACAAGATGTCATACCATAAGTATTTTTTAATACTGAAATGTGACAGTGCCTTAGGTAAATAATCAGATAACATTTGCCATTTGAAAGTCGATTGGGAAAATTATAAAGTGGCACATCTTGCAGTAACTTAGGGAGTTTTCTTTGGTTTTCAAATTGATATATTTAGTTTTATCTGTTTTAAAATGTGCATGAACAACACGATAGTATATGTATGAACAACTTTCCCACCCATCCTGAAGGAATAGCTTTCTTCTTTTCGTTAATTCTCTATAATACAAAATAGATTTCCTAGAAATCCTCAAAGGCCCGCAAAGAAATACAAGCTGCAGAATTTGAATTCTCTCTTTCCACAGAACAGCCCTGGTTTACCAGCACTAGGTCAATAACCAGTTGTATGTTGGGATTACCTCTGACTGGAAAGACATAGGAGCAGGGAGCCTGGCGACAGCCATATGTCATGTGTCAGGTCATAATCTCAATTCTCCAAGGTTTTACTTGGACTGTTAGTGAGGCAGACAACTCAGTGCCCAGGGCTTCCTTTGCCCCTCCCTAGCAGACTTGGCAGTTTCTCTTCTCTCATGGTGTGGAAGCATGTCCCCTCTGTCACTGAGCATTGACCTCAGTGTGTGTCTCTTCTCAGACTGGGATCAGATCCAGACAATAGATTCCTTACTCAGAAAAGGTGGCTTTAAGGCTCCGATTACAAGTGAATTCAGAAAAACGATCAAGCTTACCAGGTAAGCCCCTGTTTCATCTTCCTTGTCATTTTAATTTAGTTGGGTTTGGATGAAGGGTACTTTTGCTGGCAAAGGGAAAAAAATTTTCTCTGCACTCTCTAAACCACAGAAGTATGGTAAGGTTGAGGCTCTGAGGAGAGTGACAGCAAAGGCAGACTCCCCAGCATCCTGAGCAGCTCGGCAGCTAACCCAGTAGCAGGAGGAGCAGGGCTGGGCCACTGAGAAAATTGTGGATGTCTTTGCCAGACTTAATTTTTTTGGGAGAGACTGAGGGGGGAATTTGAGGTCAGGAGAGAAGGCCCTCAGTGCAGAAGGCCAAGGTCAGTTGAAGTCACATGCAATTAGGTGGTAGGGATACAGGTGGCATGTTAAAAGAATAGTTAGAAAATACTTTTTATAAAGAGTTAAAAGGAAACATTTCCTTGTTTGGGGTGATTGGTTCCTTGGGGAGGCTGCCTAGTGTGGTAGAAAGTACATGAACTTGGGGTCTGAAACTTAGCTCCACCACTTAGCTATGTGACCTGGGTCAGTTATTCTGCCTCTCTGAGTGGGAAAAAATTTCCTGTCTGTAAAAAGTGAGTGATAGTGCCTTGGGGTTGTTTTAGGTTGTGTAAGGTATGTATGAGGAATTCTAGTCCAGGGCCAGGTAGTAGATGTCAGTTCTCTTCCCATCCCTACTGAAATCGAAAACACTGAGAGGTTTACCTTCTGTGGGCTTCAGTGGGCCTCTGGCCCCCTAATCTGTAAAATGCGGAATAATCATATAGTAACTTCACAGGTCTATTTGGAAGATAACCCAGTGTTTTTGAAATGCTTTGGATTCCAAAAAAAAACACTTCAAATACAAAGCATTATATTATTATTATTATTATTATTATAATTTATTTGAACAGCCATTTCCCTGTCAAAATTCAGGAATAATCACCTTGCAATGGAGGAGTGATTACAGTGGGAAAGAGATGGCTCTGGGTAAGGATTGTCACACCCAGCTCCTGTGGTCTGTAGTAGGCTCCATAGGTTTGTAACACCCCATGCTTTGCATCCTGACTCATGGCTCTTTCCAGAGCAAAGCCAAAGTGCTAAAGTGCTATGAATTCTGTTCTGATGACCCTGTGATATGACATGGCATATTCATCCAGGAATTGAGACCAATCCTATATATAGCCCCAGGATTCTTTAACCTGCTTCATGAGAATTTGACCCAGAGTTAGGTTACCTGTGCCCCTTTGGTTATAAATAACTTGTTTGTTGCTTTTTGCAAACTAAGGTTGCATTTCTGTCAATTCATTTTAATCTGAAAGTAGATAATGAAGTTTATACTGGGCATTGGTTGCATCATCTTCCAATCTGCCACCCATGTAATTTGACTTGAAATTCTTCCTCCAGGCCCCAGTTGCAGATTGCTTAAGAGCAGCCTGATGATAAACATATATAGTGTTTAAAGGTGGGATGTGCAGAAAACACATTCTCAGGGGTATTGTGATTGTGCTTTTTTCATCTTGTTCATTTGTAATAACATTGTTTTTTTGTGCTGTCTTTCATTTTCTGTAAGTAAGGTTGCTCTTGGTCTTCCATTTTATTCTTTCAAAATGTGGAATAAGCTTTTGGTTTTCTCTGCTGAGTGACTTTCCTGAATGAAATATTTGGGGTTCATAATACCCTTCCCTGTTTCCTTACACAGGTACCGAAGTGAGAAGGTGACAATCAGTTATGCAGAATATATTGCTTCTCGACAGCACTGTTTCCAGAATGGCACTCTTCATGCCCCGCCCCTCTACAATCATTACTCCTGACACAAGGCTGCATGACCAGTCCCACCCCCCTGTGGCCACGAATGGCTATGACATCATTGGAGCAGATGCCTCCTCTTCCTGGTCCAGTTACTTCTATTACTGCACCATTTTATGATGCTAGCTTCCGTTGCCAAGTCTGCCTCCAGCTGACTGGCGGGGGCGGGGAAGTGGGGTTATATTGAATGAAACAACTTGAGGGGCCCAAGCCTTATCTCAGCCTTTCCTCATTATGGGGTTCCATTGGATTGGGGCTCTTCCATGACTAGTGAGAATTGCTGTGTGGGTTCAGAAGACCCTTGGCATGCAAGTGGCCACCTGTGTGTTGGCCACACAGTGGAAGCTGGAATTGATGATTCTTGAAGGCTCAACCCACAGACACCTTTATAGCTTCCCCAGATTAAGGAGGTATATTTCCCTGGCAGTCTGGGCAACGGAGACCAACAAGAAACATTTTTAGGTTGTTTTAAATTCCTTTTTTAAAATTTCCAGTTTATTGCATACCAACAGTTGATTACAACCTCCATGCTTCATAAGTGGACGCCATGTTAGGGTTGAACGTGGGCACTTCAGGTCCTTTGAGGCTCCTGGACAGAGACCCACATCATATTGGATGGTGTGCCAGATCTCATTGCTCAATCAGCCTTGAAGGATTTAATTTTCACCCTACTAGCCATTGGATGTTCTGACACTCCTTCCATTAAGTCTCCCGGTATTGAACAGAGAGAGCTCTGTGGTATAACCTGCCAAGGAATGAACTGGGATGCCTACAGGAGGTCCTGACGTCATTGCTGCATGCAGTGTGCAAGGAAAGACTGCGTCCTTACCACCCGGCTACCTCACTCCTTTACTGGTAGCAGTGCCTATAGGTGGATCTAGGTTCACAGAAGACATAGATATTCAAACAAGCACCTGGGTTGGGCTTTAGAAAGACACATTGTCATAGGAGAGAATACAGGGTCTCCGAGCTATTTTTTTCTTTTCAGGCAACCATCTTTAAGGGACTTAAAAACCAGTGGTGTCTAGTTTTCCTGTAGAAGTGAGAAAACAGTTTATAATTTAGTCCTTTACAGGATTTGAGAACAAAGCTGTGTAACTAAACAAGGTGAATTGTTAACTTGCTTAATATGCTGGGAATCTTCACCCAATCAGGGCAGAGCCAAGTAGTTCATTTTATTCTAGGTCATTTAGATTTTCATGTGGTATATTTCCCTTTCCCATTATTGCTTACTCTAAATAGCTCTCAGCAAATTTTCTTTCCTCTTGCCTATTCTCTCACTAGTGGCAAAGTTTATAGAATTAAGGACTTGGAAGGTGCTTTGGAAACATTGTCATAGAGGCACTGCTGAAATTATTCACAGGAAGGGGGTGGCCAATTGGAAGAAAAGACTGTAAGGGTAATACACTGGTTTTCAACAACATGCAAGTGGATTGGATGTCAACCTGGTGGACGCAATGTTTTGATTTATTTTAAAAAGTTTATGTGGCGATGGTGTGGCTTTCCAGAATGGGCAAATAGTAAAGTTAGACAGAAATGGGGTGGACAGGACAAGGACACAGTGTTAAGAAATGACATGTGCTATTTGCAGGCATTGCTCTCGTTTCCTGGAAGAGGTGAATAGAGGTGAGGTGAGCAGATTTGCTTAGCATCTTCTGTTCATGAGGATGTGGACTGCAGGGGGAATGGGCCAGCAGCAGGATGCCAGGCCCATTCCTGCATCCTGCCACTCTTCCTGCAGTTATTGAAAACTATTGAAGATGAAGGATTCTTTCATGATTTCCTGCTGCTGAGAATAATAAATGTCTTATTACACATGTGACAACAGTTATTTTAGGTGCCACGGATTGATGTCAGGGTGGTCAGTTTGGGACTAAACCACCCATCTTCATTTTGTACGACAGTATTGATACATAGGGCTACACTCATTACTGTTCAAGTGTTCTATGTTGAAAGTTGTGTTTAATTTCTAAAGATTGAAAAAATAAAAAAAATTGGTGCTAAAATTTTATCCCTGAGCATGCTCAGTGAAACTGGTCATGCAAGCATTTACAGTGCCATGCTCTTCAAGCCTATTTTTCCCTGTAGAAATGTTGCCCTATTTAATTTTATTTTATTGAGGGTGGGGTAGGATACCTGCCATTTAAGGAAATGAACAGAAAATTTAAAACCTGCAAAATGCAGGGGAAAGGGAATCAGTGCACAAGAATTGGGCTGGTTAAGACCAGCACCACACTGCAGTGGGCTCAGTATTTGTGGAGAAGCCTTACCCTGCGCGTTCCTTCACACTCCGTACAAGTCCAGCAATGGAGGTGCTCAAGGTCCTCTTGCTTGTCAAGAATACTTGAGTTGACGAAAATTATTTGGCCCTGTAAGCAATGGCACTATAAGTGTCTATCCCAAAAGGGGCCTATTCAGGAAGCAGTCTGGAAGTATATGGTCATGGTCACTTCATAAATATGTGTGGCAGCTTTGTATAGGGAGGTGATGGCTCTAAACTGAAACTGAACTGCCTTCCACACACTTAACCAGTGCAGTGATGAGGGTGGCCAACACGTGTGAGTGGTGGGTTTAAAGAGAAGGGGATTTTTTTGCTTGGTGTTTTGTTAGTCCTTGTGCTGCTCAAGCTGAACAGTAGGTGACCACTGTTCTAAAGGGACCAGCCCAACTTGGCTGGTTTGGTTCAGAATTTGTTTCATCCCTAGCTGTGAGTGCCTTTTGGTCTAGAAAGTTGGGTTGTCTCATAAACCCACAGCTGGGACATTCTCTGTAATTATGAATTGTGTTCGTTTTACATTGAAAGAGAATGTCTTTGATCAGTAGAGTTTGTCAGTGTTAGATTGTTTCCACTGTGAGTTTCTTAAACTTTTTTGCTTCATAAGTAATAAAGCAATTCATGTTAGAGTTCCTTTCAACATGAAAGGTTTGTAATTGAGACATTTTATTGTTTATAATAAAAATCTATACAGGAGTGTTAGGTGTTAATTTTAATATTTGCACAAAATCTGTTTTCCATGTTAACACCTACAGTTTCACTAACTGATGTTTTCTGTTGAGATTCTGGAGCTTAGGGAGCTTGTGGAGTTTTTTTTGTTTTTTGTTTTTATCCTTATTTCCCTGAAGCAAGAGACTTCGTATGGCCTTCGAGTGCAAGGACTTCAGACCAATTCTTCGTATTACACTTGGTTGCCTCTTGGCTATATAACTTCTCAGTGCAAATCATTGAACTCTTTAACAAAGTATTGTAGAGAATAAATCATAATGGGTAAAAATTGTTGTTCGGCCTCTTTTTTTGGAGTACTGGTAACAGTCAATAATATAGTATTGAGTCAGGCTGCATATTTTGTGTGGTATTAATGACCTCCAATAACCATGCACGTGTGTGTGTGTGTGTGTGTGTGTGTGGTTTTAGCAATGCTGCTGATGTTTCAGAGCCAAGTTTCCTGAACCAGGGTTCATGAACCCTTTAAAGTTTAGACTGGAAGGTCCATAGATCTCGTGAGCTTTCCATTGAAACTGACGAGAAACTTGCCCATAAAGTTAACTTTAATAAGGGGGAAGAAATGCTTAAACAAGATACGATTTGGAGACATTAACCTAAGCAAAGACACTGGGACAATGGTATGCTCTGACCTAAAGAAAAGTGTTTATTCTTGGATGGCCCAAAACAGATGAGATGTATTTGGAGAAAATGACAAGTAGTTTTTCAAACATATTCTGTGATTGTCAGCCTTCAGTTTATATTTTTACAAGGTTGTAATTTTTTTGTTTTTTAAGATACACAGTTCTGAGGCCCTTACACTTGGCAGAGCGCATAAGCATATAGCCAACATGTTAGGTGTCTGGGTTAATATTTTTAGAAATAAACTACAAGCAACTGATTAAACATACAGTTTGATAATAACTTTGGGTTGTGTGAGAGGAATTTTTTTTTCAAGAGAAAATAAGGTTCTACAGGTGAATATTGACATGTAACAACAATTTCACGTTACTGTTCCAGGTGGGACTTGGTGGTACACTGTAATGAAACTTGCCATATTAACATCCTTATTGTCTGAAATATGAACTAAATCATCTGGTCAGAGATCAGTGGTGCTAATTCTGGTAGGAGTGGGGGTGGGGAGGTGCATTAGAGCTGTTTCCAGATTAATAACAGTATGTGACCTTGGCTTGAATATCTGGTTTTGAAATACTAATTCATTGAGCTACCAGAGGGACTTGACTCAAAACCAATACTGTACATAGAACCTGTAGTAGTATTTTGAGAAATGAAATGCAAGTCCCATTCAGTCTTTTTCCTTATCTGAAATGAAGCTCTGACAAAGATTCTAGAATCTGTCTTCCTGCTGCTTACTCTCTTTCTGTGTACATTCTGTAGGCTACAGTGAACTGTAAAACAAGTGACCCCTCTGATTTCAAAACTGTTGAAAAGGGGAACCAAACAGTTCTCAAGTTCACCCAGTCACTCAATCCCCTACCACAGTATGGCCATTCTGGTTCCCAACCAAAGAAGTAACCTGGGGTGCTGACATTGGAGCCTTCACGGGCTGTCAACCAGGCCTGAGATAGAATCTTGACTGTTATTTATGAGCCAGACAAGTAGCTGAATTTCCTTTTTTTGTCACAGGAGTATGAGTTTCTAAGGCAGTTTGTTAATGATGCTTTGCCCAGGCCCCAGCACAGGCTGTGAATGGCTGTTGACTATCCATACTTGTCCAGTGCTAGGTGTAGATGGGAGCTGTGGGGCCAGTGTGAACTTGGCAGAGCTATGGGAATAGAAAAAAAGTGGCATAATTGGTGTGCTCAGCCCCTCAAATTAGGATGGTCATTTTGAGAGATGGATACTGAAGTAGGCCCAGATTCACCTGAAGAAGAGTTCTCATACCCTGACTCACTCGCTTGGTTGGACATCATCCCTCAAAGCAAAAGGTCACTGGTTGATTCCTGATTCCCAGTTAGCCTGAGTTGTGGGTTCTGTCCCTGGTTGGGGCACATGCAAGAGGCAGCTGATCAATGTTTCTCTCATGTTAATGTTTCCCTCTCTCCTATTTCTTCCTCCCCTTCTCTTTCTTAAAGAAAAAAAAAAGCTCTCCAAGCCAAATGGACATTGCCACAGGTAGACAGGACTTAGAATCAAGTCTGGGACTCAAAGGACAACCTTCTGGAGGTTTTGGTACCTGGAAGTCAAGGACAGTTTGCAGAATCACACAACCACCAATCCCTCCCCCAAATACCCCATACCTCTGCATTGCTAGACACTTCTTTTGTAGCACCAGTATGTTTCTAGCAGCAGGTGCCAAATATTTCTTTTTTTTTAATAATACTTTATTTATTTATTTTTAGAGAGAGGGAAAGGGAAGGAGAAAGAGTGGGAGAGAAACATCAATGTGTGGTTGCCTCTCATGTGTTCCCCACTGGGGACCTGGCCTGCAACTCAGGCATGCCAAAGATTTCTTTATGATAGAAATTGGAGATTCTATCCAGTAACCCTGAGTATGAGGAAAACTGAGAAGCATTATCCTATTTTAGAGTCAAAACACCTGGATCCAGGTGGAAAACACAAGTGAGTCAGTCCACAAGGGATTCTTTGAGAAGTACTCTAAAAGGTTATAAAAGGTGGAAGTTATTTTGATTTAAAAAGTGATATAGCAACATTAATAAAAAGTGTAACATTGTTCCATGTTTGTATAGTTACTGTGACATTTAAGGGTATTGAAATGTGAATTTACCTTGAAGAATGAATATTCTGCTATGTGTCTGATGATTTTGTTCATATCCCTCCTACACCTCTGACTACATCTCTGAGGAGCAGTGCAAGCCCCTGCTCCCAGATCCTCTTGTGACTTACCTACTGCAAAACAAAAGTGATCTCTTGCTCTCTGTATTATTCTACAGCACTTTCTTTGACTTTCTTTCATACCACTTGCCACTTTCTTTTATTCTGGAAAATAAGTCCAGATCTAGCATCAACTACTCTTGGTGACCTCCTATTGAGGAGAGATGGGTGACTGGTGGTATTTTTTAACCCCAGAGCATTGCACATAAGTATTTAACTATTGTTTCCTAAGTGAAAATGCTGTCGACAAACCAAGCTGTGAAATACCAATATTGTTATTTTCCTTCTCTCTTCACCTGTTGTCTTCTCAATCAACTGCTGTATGTGCAGAAGATACCAAGTGTTGGGTACCCAGCTAGCCCTTGGGCCAGCATATGGTAAGGTACAGTAACTAGGAGTTGCTCTGTAAAGGCCTGTTGTATGGATGGAAGAAAGAGGCCTACACTGAATTGCAGGTCCATTTCCCACAGCCAGCTGCTAGATGCCCCAGAACTCCTCATCAGTACATCTGTTTACAGCTCTAATAAACTGTGTAGGAAAGCACTTTGAAACTAATAAACTCTGCCAGTACTATATAACCTACTATTATTTTACCTGTGGACCAAAACAAGGCCAAATACTAAACCTGACAAGCTCAGGGAATGCCCACGTAGCAAGCCTTACAAACTTGGAGACTGAAAGTAACCATGCAATATAGTCTGAAGATAAAAATTCCTAACAAAAAAATGGGTCATGGTGCATAGTCATGTGCTAGGCCTATAGCTTCCTTGACAAAGGTCAATCTTCACCTTTGACATTGTCTATTGTCTTTGTGCATCTAAGATAACACCTTTGAAATGTCAGGCTTTCTTTTCCAGACCCCTCAAGGCATACCCACTGCATCAGAGCAAGAGACCACAGAATCCCTCATTGTTATCTGCCCAAATACCATCTTTATGAACTGTAAATGCCTTATACATTGGTGGACACAGACCACCAATGTAGAAGGCATTTTACTTTTTTTCCAACCCTAATCTATCATCAATGGATTTCATGTAACCCTGCTTACCCATATTTTGTTATCATGCACACCCACGTTTTTGTGCATTATTAATGCCATGGTATGTGATCATTATACCCATGTATAATGTGCATTATTCTTTTTCCCCTCAAAAATTTGGGCAAAAAGGTGCACATTATACACAGCAAAATATGGTATGTCTTCTCCTTTGATTCTAATGTATAAAATAAACTGCAAAACTGCCATTCTCTGGAGCATTTTCTCAAATCGCTGGAGATTTTGCTTCCTTCCCATCAATTGTCAGCTTTAATCAAATAAAGTCTTATAAGGCTTTTTCTTAGGCTGGAAGTTCTTTTTGTCAACATACTCTATACATTTCTTCTGGAAATATAGATCCAAAGCAAAATAACTTTGTAAAAATTTATACAGCAAAGGAATATAATGTACATACTTTCGTCTGGTAATTCATTTTTTAGTTAACAGAGTTTACATGATACCTAAACACTGTTTGCTACTGAGCCAAGTTGTGCACTATGGTTATGCCCTTTATTATAAAACCTTCTTTTCTCTGCAGTTGAAAACAGCATTTTCATTTGCTTTTCTAAGATAGGCCAAACGTTTCAAGAGATGTTAAAGGCTTCTCAATATCACTGTCCACAAGGTCAGGAGTATCAGAATAATCCACTAAGTGAGCATCTAGAGAGCTTGCTTCCAAGAGTGTCGCCATTTTGGTTTAAATAAACTCATACAAAATTTTAAGAATCCACTACAAAGCGATCAAATTTTTTAAAATGTTTAAGGCACTGAAACAAATTCCACTGTATATTTTCGGAGTTACATACCCAGCTTTCCATCAGCCGGGGTAACCTGGCCAGTTAGCGCGTTCCCGCGTCTCATCTAGTCTGTATCCACACTTGACAGGTGATCAACCCCAGGATACGTGGCCCAGGTCCCAGTGGGGAAGAGAAGCAGCACTGTCTTCTTTTTCGTAGGCCACAACCTTCCCGACCCCGCCCACCCCACCTCTGGGCCCCGCCCCGGGTCCCGCCTTTCCCGTGCCCCTGGCTTGCGTCCGTACGCTTCCTCTTCCGGTGCTGTAGGTGTCAGCGCGCAGCGCGGCGATGGCGGCCGGAGGTCCTGACCCGCGTAGTGGCGACGTAGAGGAGGACGCTTCACAGCTCGTCTTTCCCAAAGGTGAGCCCTGGGGCTGCCCGACTACCCTGCGGTTTGGCGTAGTCACTATTGGCCTGGTTCTACCCTGCTCCAGGTCCAGGGCCCGGGAGGTCCAGGTCCTGCGGGGGCTCGAGTACGCGGCACTGTGCCTGTAGAGAGGGTGCCTGGGTCCCTCGGCGCCTTTCCACACTGCCTTTGGGCAGCTCTGGTACCTGTTGTAATAGTTTATTTTCTCTAATACACTACGAAGTGCGGGAGAGACGTGTCGGAGATAAACACAGCCAACACTAGTTAAAGTGGTCAGGACGGATTTTAATGAGCAATACGTTGTTAAGAGAAGAAAGCCTAGCGTGGATTGAACTCAACTTCTTTTTGTGTAGAGGTGACTAGCCGTTTTAAAGGCGGAATGGGGGGTGGGGGGCGGAAAGAGGGTGCTTAGTCGGGACAGGGGAATGAAAATTACGAAAAGTGGGAAGGGTGGTTGGTCCATTTGAAGTCCATTCGGGTTTTTAGGCTGGCGTTTATGGAAGTTAGGTTCTTACCCTCCCACAGCCTGCCCTCTGTTGGCTGTAAGTTATTTTGACAGCTCTTAATTTTCACAGGCAAGCTCTTTGATGGAGCTAGGGTCGTCGTCGGGATGCAGCCTGAATTGTTAGAAATCATATCACTGTTTCACTAAAGCCTTTGTGCGCTGAAGTTGAGGCGTAGTCAGGAAGAGACTCTGGCTAGTTTGGTCAAGGAGAGAATCTTTGTCAGTTGTAGCATGTGAAGCACATTTGCTATCAGGGAACTTCTATGTAGTGTCATGTCCTTTGTAATTTAGAAACCAAAAATAAAGAGAAAGCTTAAATTTTAAAATATGTCATGTAGGTACTGAAGAACAAAGTAAATGGGGGAAACCTTAACAATACTTTATTGTTTTAAAAAATGTTATATAGGCCCTGGCTGGCGTAGCTCAGTGGATTGAGCGCGGGCCTGCGAACCAGAGTATCGCAGTTCGATTCCCAGTCAGGGCACATGCCTGGGTTGCAGGCCAGTTCCCAGCAGGGGACGCATGAGAGGCAACCATACATTGATGTTTCTCTCCCACTCTTTCTCCTTCCCTTCCCCTCTCTCAAAAAATAAATAAAATATTTTTAAAATATTATATAATATTTCACAATAAAAAGTGAAACTCCTTGCCCTTCCTGGTGTGTGGCTCAGTGAACTGAGTGCTAGCTGGAATACCAAAAGGTCACCTCACCTGTTTGATTCCCAGTCAGGACACGTGCCTGAGTTGTGGGCCAGATCCCCAGTAGGGGGTGTGTGAGAGGCAACTGATAGATGTATCTCTCACACACTGATGTTTCTCTCCCTCTCCCTTCTCCTCTCTCTAAAAGTAAATAAATAGAATTATTATTTAAAAAAAAGTGAAACTCCACACCCTTTCTTCCAGAGGAAACTACTATAAACAGGTTAGTACTTGTTTTCCAAATTAATTTTATGCTTATTTATAAATATACACATACACTTTTGTCTTTGCAAAATGGGATTATGCTATAGAAATCATACAGCTCTTAAAATTTTTGACGGTATATTGTATAGAACTGTTTTATTCTTTTAAAAGGTTAGATAGCATTTAATGGTTGTACTGTAATACTATTTATCTATTGATAGATTGCTTACAGTTTTTTATTTCATAGATTCAAGTGCAATTATTTACATAGGATATCTTCACATAAGGCTTTTTTTTTTTTTGCATAATGACAACATGTATTTGTTTCCTTTTAAGAGTGTAATAACCAAGAAGGAGATGATTTTCTTAATTTCATGATAAATTAAACCAATTTTTTGTGTTTGGGTTTTGTCCAGGTACTTTTTTATTTAATTTTATTTCTAACACTCTGAAAATACTTGTTTGATAAAATCTGGTAGCATCTGGTACCCATGAAAATTGTATTGAATGGTTATTGAAGGGATATATTTAGATCTTAGATCCTACCAATTTTTTATCATTAACTTACTAGCTAATACAGGCATATAAAGTGTTACATATTTTAGAATATATGTAGATATACAGAAACAACACTAAGTATTTAAAATATGAGAAAAATTTGTTGCTGTAGGATGGAAAGTAAATAAATGTGTGAAATTAATTGTAGGAATAAAAGAATGGAGATTATTGAAAGCTACTGAGTACTTTTAGTGGCAATTTTCACAAACATATTTGCCCACAAATAAAATATGTCCTTTATGTGGTATAATTAACAGCAACTCGATTGAAGAAATTAGAAAGTAAGCCATTTTTTCTAAAAAGGAATATAATCCAACCATTCCCTCCTTCAACTAAAGAAATACCCTATTTTTGTACTCGAGAGAAAAATGTACGGTATAAGAAGACCATCTGAAATTGCCAGCCTTATCATAAAACACTAATGGTTGCAATGAAGGATTCTCAAGGAAATTGTTAAATGAGGTACTGGCCAAGGAATTACTTTCCTTCTTAGAGGAACAGGGATTTGCGAATTGTGGCTATTGCTCTTAAAATATCTGCAGAGGGGTAATATCGTGTAGATCCCCTGATCTAGTTCCTTTTGTTTTCCAAATAAAATATGTGTAGTGTGTGTTTAAGTGTAAGAACTTTTACCAAAAAATGGTTTGTTGTGGTTGACTATGAGTAGAAGTTTTGGTCCTAACTTTCCATAGTTATAAAAAAGTGTTTGTAACTCCCTCTTTTCTTCCCAGTTATTGATTTCAAATCCTGGAAAGGTTCTGTGGTAGGTCTCAGGCACCCCACTCCCCTCTCTCCTAGGTCCTCCAAGTCACAATCTGACTGCCTTGGCATTTCATTAGTTGAAAAGAGTGAAGGTGGTACTTGGGCATTGCCCTCAGTGAAGAGTAGAGAAAGATGCTTAGTATCCTGGTGTCCTGAGTTCTATCCATTGAATTTCACAGGTAAATTTGTGTAGTGTGTGCAGAAAGGGAAGTATCTCTAACTTTAGGCGCTTTTCCAAAAGCCTTCAAAACATCAACAGCTATAACAAGCTTGGGGGTAATTAGCCATTACTCTTGTTTAGCCTTTTAATTTTCATTGTCTAAGGCTACATTAATGCTGCAGCCTCAGAAGCTGAGACTAACACTGTTTAGCTGCTATTGCCTTTCCCCCCCCCGATGTCACTTGTTACTTTCACTTCAGAGACATTTGGGGTCATACTTCCTGATATTTAATGTGTTCTGTACTCGTTGCTCTGAGGCAATAATTTCTTCACCTGTATACCACCTTGGAGGTTTGGACTGGAATTAACTCTGAGGGTCCTCTTCTTCAAACTATGCTGTCCTCAGGTAGAAAATAGCTTTGGGGTGCCTGTTATATTCAGTAACAGTGAGAACCTTTCAAATAACGATAGTTTCCTTTTGACATCCCCCTCCAAAAACACATGTGCGTATATACACACACTGTTTTGAAAAGAGAGTGAAGTTCCTGTCACCTAGCCCAAGAAGTGGAAGGAATTAATCTGATGGAGGTGTTCATGATTTCCCCAATAGTAAATGTACTCGTGTCATATGTAAATGCCAAATTGCAAATAACTTTGGATTTTTCTCACAATTGCTTCTACTTTATCAGTGTGGTTTTATGAACATGAACTCATATTTATGGATGGTTTCTACTCTGGGGGAACTCACTGATAAGGGTAAAGCAGATAAAAACCAGCTCTTATACTTTGTAATAAGCATTAGGAACATATGCTCCTAATGTGAGAGAGATACGATCTTCCAAAGGAAATAATAGCATTTTAACAGTGTCATCATGAAAATATAGCTAAAGACTGCCAAAGGAATTGGAGAGGAGCCAATTCCTTTCCAATTATGGAAACAAGCCAAAGCTTTCTTTTTCTCTTTTAAACTTATTTTTTAAAGATTGCCCATAGAGACTTCTTCTATTGTTTACTGGTCAAGAGAATTATTTTAAATGAGTATCAAGGATAAGAGGTTTGTGTCATGGTAAGTATTTGAGTTAGATTTAATTGACAGATTATCTTTGACTATGAAATCTAGAGGAAATATGCATTTAGCTGGACGCTCAATTCCTGTGATACAGTAGGTGGTGACCTGGGTGAATAGATCTGTGCAGGTGCAGAAATAGAATTTGGGGTACATTATTAATATGTGCTTCCAAACACTTGGCCCTCCGTAATATACCTTATTTTGTTGTGTATAGTATAGTATATACCCACGTTTTTGTGTGCATTATACACAGGATTATTACACCCATGGTATGTAATTATTATACCCATGTATCATGGGTATCCTTATTTTTCCCTCCAAAATTTGGGCAAAAAGTGCACATTATACACAAGAAAATATGAAAATTCTTAAAATGATAGTTATTCACAAATGATATATCTGATAAAGGGTGGGTAGCTAAAATATATATGGAACACATACAGCTCAATAACAAAAAAGTCTTCCTATCAAAAAATGGGCAGACAGTGGATGCTTTTGCAGTGCATGTACTTACAAAAATGAGATGAAAGACATTTCTCCAAAGAAGACATACAGATGGACAACAAATGTGAAAAAATGCTCAACATCACTAATCATCAGGGAAATACAAATCAAAACCACCGTGAGACACCACCTCTTTGTCAGAATGGCTATCATCAATAAATCAACAAATAACCAGTGTTAACAAGGATGTGGAAGAAAGGGAATCCTCATGCACTGTTGGTGGATTGCAAATTGGTGTGACCACTATGGAAAACAGTATGGAGATTCCTCAAAAAAGTAAAAATAGCCTTGGCTGGTGTGGCTCAGTGGACTGAGTGCTGGCCTGCAAATCAGAGGGTCGCCAGTTTGATCCCCAGTCAGGGCACATGCCTGGTTGCAGGCCAAATCCCCAGTGGGGGACACATGAGAGACAACCACACATTGATGTTTTACTCCCTCACTTTCTCCCTTCCCCTCTCTCTAAAAATAAAATAAATAAGATCTTTAAAAAAAACACTAAAAATAGATCCAGCAATTCTACTTCTGGGTATTTACCCAAAGAAAGCACAAACAGTAATTTGAAAAGATATATGCACCCCTGTGTTCATTGCAGCTTTATTTACATTAGCCAAGTTATGGAAGCAGCCTAGGTGTCCATCAATAGATAAATGGATAAGAAAGAAGTGATACATATATACAATAGGATATTACATAGCCATTAAGAATAATGAAAAATTGCCCTGGCTGGTGTAGCTCAGTGGATTGAGCATGGGCCTGTGAAGCAAAAGGTTGCTGGTTTGATTTCCAGTCAGGGCACATGCATGGGTTGCAGGCCAGGTCCCCAGTAGGGGACACATGAGAGGCAACCACACATTAATGTTTCTCTCCCACTCTTTCTCCTTCCCTTCCCCTCTCTCTAAAAATAAATACATTAATTTTAAAAAAACAATAAAAAAAGAATAATGAAATCTTGCCATTTGCAACATTGATAGAGCTAGAAGGTATTATGCTAAGTAAAATAAGTTAGAGAGACAAATACTATATAGTTTCACTTAATTGTAGAATCTTAAAAAAAAAGCAAAGAAAACAAAAACTAGACTTACAGAAGCCAAAAGGATAGTTGCCACCAAGGAGGTGGATGAAGGGTGAGACAGGGAAGAGGGAATATAGTCAACAATATTGTGATGTTTGCACAGTGACAGATGGTTACTAGCATTAGTCAGGTGATCACACTGTAAGATTTAAAAATGTCAAATCACTATATTATACCCCTAAAACTAATATAACATAATAAAATATTGCATACCAATTATACTAGAATTTTTTTAAGTAAAAAAATTGAGAGTGTAACATTAGTATTATGAGATAGAAAGATTATGAGCTTATGAAAGCTGGGGAGAAACAATTATTGGTTATGCCCCATTTCGAAACCAGTAACTGGCCTAATGAGTCTAATGTGTCTTTTCTTAAAGACTTTATTTATTTTTAGAGAGGGGAAGGGAGCTAGAAAGAGAGAGAGAGACATACCCATGGGTTGCTTTTCATATGCGCCCTGACCAGGACCAAACCCACAACCCAGGCATGTGACCTGAGCAGGGATTGAACCGCCAAGCTTTTGCTTTGTAGGACAGTGCCCAGCCATCTGAGCCACACAGGTCAGGACAATGATGTGTCATTTAATAGTACATCTAAGTTAGGTTCTTTGATATTTAAAACTCTAGCCCAAGTGAGCTTTTAAGTATTTCATGAACTACACTCTGCCTCGTGGTATAAAGTTGTTGGATATGAAGTGTCTGGATTTCTTAAGGGACAGAGATTTGCTGTTAGTCTCCAATGCAAAAACTAACATTTAGAAACTGACTTCTGAAAGAATATTTTCAGCTGACATTTGTGCTTCTCACAGAGTTTGAAACAGCTGAGACACTTCTAAATTCTGAAGTTCATATGCTTCTGGAGCATCGAAAGCAACAGAATGAGAGTGCAGAGGATGAACAGGAACTTTCTGAGGTCTTCATGAAAACACTAAACTATACAGCTCGTTTCAGTCGTTTCAAAAACAGAGAGACCATTGCCAGTGTCCGTAGGTGAGTACTAAAAGAAGGGTTTTTTGGGGGAGGGTTTTGTTTTGATTTTGTAGAGATACGGGGGGAGGAAGAAAGAGAGGAAAGGAAACATCAATCAGTTGCCTCTTACCTGCACCCCAACCACATACTGAACCTGCAACTCAAACGTGTGTCCTGACTGGGAATCATCCGGGGACCTTTCTCTTTGTGGTACGATATCTAACCAACTGAACCATGCCAGTCAGGGCAAGGAAGTTTTTTTTACTAATGCAAACTTGCACATCTGCAGGTAGAATGCTATTTCGTCACCCACCTCCTCCCCACCCTGTATAATCTGTAGGATTAATGTATGTAAAATAATTTGTCAAAAATTTCAAAATTGGCCCTGGCTGGTGTAGCTCAGTGGATTGAGCACGGGCCTGTGAACCAAAAGATAGCAGTTCAATTCCCCATCAGGGCACATGTCTGGGTTGCAGGCCAGTTCCCAGCAGGGGATGCATGAGAAGCAACCATACATTGATATTTCTCTCCTTCTCTCCTTCCCTTCCCTTCTAAAGATAAATAAATAAAATAAATTTTTCTTTTTTAATTTCGGAATTGCTTATAAGGCCAAATTCCTCTGTGGCCATCTTTCCTACCCCAAATCCCAGTCATCTCCCTGCAAAGTAATGACTGTTAGCAGTTTGTTGCTGGCCCTTCAGATCTTTTTTTCATGCATTCATATGTGTATATATATGCCTATAACCCTGGCTGGTGTGGCTCAGTGGATTGAGCACAGGCCTGTGAACCAAACAGTCGAACCAAACAAGTTCGATTCCCAGTCAGGGCACATGCCTGGGTTGCAGGCCAGTTCCCAGCAGGGGACGCACAAGAGGCAACCATACATTGATGTTTCTCTCCCTCTCTCCTTTCCTTACCCTCTAAAGATAAATAAATAAAATCTTTAAAATATAAATATGTATATGCACCTATAAAAATAAAAAACATAGCATTGTTGTGTGGGGGTCTTTTTAAATGAAGTGGGCTTATTTATTTATTATTCATCTGAAATGTCTTCGAGATTTTGTAAGTTAATAAATATAAATGAGAGGCATTTTTTCTGGATCTTCATTTTACCTTTCAGAATCAAAAAGTACCTAGCTTTTAGCATTTTTTCCCAAGACAGTGCTTCTCAAATTGGGTTGGATGTGCCCTGGGAAACAGTGATGTGCTGGGCATATTGAAGGTCACAGGAAAACTAGCACATCTTCCTGAGATATCAGTTTTACTGGGTGATAGTTGATTTAAAACATTTCTGTATTAAAGCAGATACCAGTATATTGTGGACTAAAACAAAAAAATATAAATGAGTTCTTGAATTAAATCACGAGACTTAAAACCTTGCAGTTGCAGAAAGTCATTTGAGCCTTTGCCTGCAGCTTGCCTAGAGGTACTTATTTGCCCTACTATAGTGAAAATGTTTGAAAAGTACTGCCCTAAGGCAAAACAAATGGACAAAAGATGTATATCATAGATAGTCTTCAGAGAACTATTTATAATAGCCAAAGGTAAAAAATACAATCTAAATATTCAACAGCTATTAAATACACTGTGGTAAATCCATCTGATGGATGACTATGCTGTCATTAAAACCTGTGTTAGAAAATGAAATTGAGAACCTCTAGCAAAGATGGAGATGTACTAGATTTGCTTCGCTGCCTCACCCAACCATAAGAAGGATAACAACCAATCTAAAAACAAAAAATAACCAGAACTGCCAGAAAATTGAACTGTATGGAAGTCCGAGAACCAAGGATTTAAATAGGAAATATTCACCCAGAAGGGTAGGAGGGGTGGAGAGGACTCAGTGCAACACTGCAAGGCAGTGGCAGGGTAGCAGGTGGGGGCAGCAGCCCATGGATGAGACAGTCCCACATTAATGTGCAGCAGATAAAAACCAGGAGGGACCAGGGAGTGAGTGATTCTAGCCCCAGGCCAGACCATGCAGCCCAGGGTCCAGCAATGGTAGAATAAAGCCTCATAACCTGTAAACCTGTGGGAGTTGGCGAGGCTGAAGCAACTGCCAGTCTCTCTGGAGAGTCTATTTTAAAGAGCCCACAGGGCCCTAGAACATCTGCAAACCCACTCACTCTGGGAATTAGCAGCAGGGCAGTGACTAGAAGGGCGCCAGACACTTGTGGGAAGTAGGGGAAGAGACTGGGAATGGGGCGAGAACTAGCAAGTAGCATTGTTCCCTTTCACCCCTCCCCCACATACAGCACCACAAAGCAGCAAAGTGGGCTGCTCCACCCTGGCAAATACCTAAGGCCTCTGCCCCTTAAAACGTAACAGGTGCACCAGTTATGGTAGTTGAAGCAGCTCTGCCTAGTACACAGAAACACAAGGAAGCTGCCAAAATGAAGAGGAGATAAAGCCAAAATGAAGAAATGGATCAAAACAGGAAAAAAAAACTGAGCAAATCAGAGATAGCAGCCTATCAGATGCAGAGTTCAAGGCACACTAGTGATCAGGGTGCTCAAAGAAAGAACTGAGTGCAGCCACAAAACAGAATAAGTGAAGGCTATACAAAGTGAAATAAAGGAAAACATACAGGGAACCAGCAGTCAAGGGAATGAAGCCAGGATTCATATCAACAATTTGGAGCAAAAAGAAGAAACAAACATCCAACTGGAACAGCAGGTAGCAACAAGAATTTTAAAAACTGAGGAGAGACTTAGGAACTTCTGGGACAACTTTAAATGCTCCAACATCTGAGTCACAAGGGTGCCAGAAAGAGTAGAGGAAGAACAAGAAATTGAAAACTTATTTGAAATAATAATGAAAGAAAACTTTCCTGATTTGGCAAACGAAATACATGTACAAGTCCAGGAAGCTCAGTCCCAAAGAAGCTGAACCCAAAGAGGGCCCCACCTTTATCTCTAAATCTGTAAAGATAAAGGGAGACTCTTAAAGCAGTAAGAGAAAAAGAGAGAGTTACCTACAAAGGAGTGTCCATTAGACTATCAGCTGATTACTCAAACCTTGAAGGCAAGAAGGAACTGGCAAGAAGTATCAAAAGTGATGAAAAGCAAGGACCTACATCTAAGATTATTCTGTCCAGCAAAGCTATCATTTAGAATGGAAGGTCAGATAAAGTGCTTCCCAGACAAGGTAAAGCTAAAGGAGTCATCATCACCAGGCCCTTATTGTAGGAAGCATTGAAGGGACTTAATCTAAGAAAAAGAAAATCAAAACTGTGAACAGTAAAATGACAGCAAACTCAAAACTGTCAACAGTGGAATCTAAAAACAACAAAAACAAAGCAGGCAAGCAACTAGAACAAGAGCAGAGTCATAGAGATGAAGATCACATGGAGCTTCGTTAGCCAGTAGTGGGAGGGGAGAAAATGGCAGAAAAGTTATAGGGAATAAGAAACACAGTTGGTGGGCCCTGGCTGGTGTGGCTCAGTGGTTTGAGTGCCAGCCTGTGAACCAAAGGGCCACTGGTTCCACTCCCAGTCAAGTCATATGCCTGGGTTGTAGGCCAGGTTCTCAGTATGGGGCACGTGATAGGCAACCACACTTTGATGTTTCTATCCCTCTCTTTTTCCCTCCCTTCCTCTCTCTAAAAATTAAAAATAAAAAAAGCATGGTTGGTGGGTGCAGAATACACAGAGGGCATTGGGAATAGTATGGGAGGTGGAAAAACTAAAGAAATGATATGTATGACCCATGGACATGAACTAAGGGGAGGGGAATTGCTGGAGGGAATAGGGTTCTGGGAAGAGAGGGCCAAAAATTGGGAAAAATGGGACAACTGTAATAGCATAATCAATAAAATATGCTTAATAAAAATAAAGAAAATGAAACTGAAAGATGTTCATGGGTGTGTGGAGGTGGAAGAGAGTATAAGGGAGATAAATGGTAATGGGAAAAATATTAAAAGAAAAAAGAAAGGTGCTCTTGGGGGTAAAAGGCAGAAAACTGTACTTGAACAACAATTAAAATTTTAAAAATGATTTAAAAAAGCAAAATGCTCACATATATTAACTGTTCAGAAAATGAAGGTGATAGAACTGTATATGAAGTATATAATCTGTTCTGACAAATGTATATGTATTCAGGAAGAAAAGATTGGAAGGAACTGTGCAGGAAGCTTCCATACAAAACTACAAACTGTTGAGCCTAAGAGATTACTTGAATGAATGAAGATAGACTTACATAGTCATCAATGAAAGGTCTTTATACTGTAAAAATGTCATTTTGCCCCAAATTAATGTATACATTTGCCATTCTAAATCCTTGAGAGAAATGGGAGGGGCGCTGAATAAAATGGTTTTAAGTTTGTAAGAATTATCAAAAATTTTATAAAAGAAAAATGAAGGGGAATTTGCCCTAAAAGATGTTAAAAGACATTAAAAAGTGTAAGTAATTAAAATAAAATAGTGATACTTTGGCATGAGAATACACAGATCATTGAAACAGAATAGAAAATTCAGAAACAGACTTCCGGCCAAGATGGCAGTGTAGATGGACACACTGTGCCTCCTTGCACAACCAAAATAAGGACAACAACAATTTAGAAACAAAAAAGAACCAGTACTGACAGAAAATTGAACTGTATAGAAGTCCGACAACCAAGGAGTTAAAGTAGACACATTCATCTTGACTGGTAGGAAGGGTGGTGTTGCGCAGCTGGGTGGAGAGGGGTCATGGCAAAGTGGTGGCTGGCAGACCCCCGGCATGCAAAGCAGCAGCTGGTGGACCCAGTGCGGCAGAAGACTGTGGAGGGGCACAGCACACAAGGGGGCTGGCAGGCTGGCAGACCAAGTGGTGCCACATTTGTGCGCAGATAAACCCGGTGAAACTGGGGAGCGAGACAGACCTCGCAACCCAGAGTCCCAGATCAGGGAAATAAAGCCGCAAAACACCAATTAAAAACACCTGTGGGGGTTGAGGTGCCAGGAGAAACTCCCAACCTCACAGCAGAGTTTGCTGGGGAGACCCACATGGGAATCAGCACCAGAAGGGTCCAGTTTGCTTGGGAGAAGTGAGTGAAATCCAGCAAAGAGCAAAGCAAGTGCCATTGTTCCCTCTCAGACCCCTGCCACACCTACAGCCTCACAACCCAGCAACTGGGTTGCACCACCTGGGTGAACAGCTAAGGCTCTGCCCCTTACTATATAACAGGCCTGTCAAGACAAAAAAGAAAAAAGAGAAAATGGCCCAAATGAAAGAACTGATCAAAGCACCAGGAAAAACACAACTAAGCAACAAAGAGATAGCCAACCTATCAGATGCACAGTTCAAAACATTGGTAATCAGAGTGGTCACAGAATTGGTTGAATTTGTCCCAAATTAGATGAAAAAATAAAGGCAATGCTAAGTGGAATAAAGGAAAATCAACAGGGAACCAATAGTGATGGGAAGGAAACTGGGACTCAGATCAATGGAGTGGACCAGAAGGAAGAAAGAAACATCCAATCAGAAAAGAATGAAGAAACAAGAATTCAAAAAAGTGAGGAGAGGCTTAGGAACCTCCAGGACATCTTTAAACATTCCAACATCCAAATTATAGGGGTACCAGAAGGGGAAGAGGAAGAGCAACAAGTGGAAAAGTTAGAACTTCCTTAATCTGGCAAAGGAAATAGACTTCCAGAAAGTCCAGGAAGCTCGGAGAGTCTCAGAGTAGGTGGACCCAAGGAGGAACACACCAAGGCACATCATAATTACATTGGCCAAGATTAAAATGGAGAGAATTCTAGAAGTAGCAAGAGATAAGGAGACAGTCACCTACAAAGGAGTTCCCATCAGACTGTCAGGTGATATTTCAAAAGAGACCTTACAGACAAGAAGGGGCTGGAAAGAAGTATTCCAAGTCATGAAAGGCAAGGACCTACATCCAAGATTGCTCTATCCAGCAAAGCTTTCATTTAGAATGGAAGGGCAGGTAAAGCGTTTCTCAGACAAGGTCAAGTTAGAGGAGTTCATCATCACCAAGCCCTTATTATATGAAATGCTAAAGGGACTTACCTAAGAGAAAGAAGATAAAAAATATGAACAGTAAAAGGACAGCCAACTCACAGTTATTAACAACCACACCTAAAACAAAAGCAAAGTAAGCAAACAACTAGAACAGTAACAGAACCACAGAAATGAAGATCACATGGCGGGTTAGCAACAGGGAAGTGGGAGGAAGAGAGGGGGGAAAAGGTACAGAGAATAAGTAGCATAGATGGTAGGTAGAAAATAGACAAGGGGAGGGCAAGAATAGTATGGGAAATGTAGAAGCTAAAGAATTTATGACACAGACATGAACTGAAGGGGGGGAATATGGGTGGGAGAGGGTGTGCACGGTGGAGGGGAGTGAAGGGGGGAAATGGGACAACTGTAATAGCATAATCAATAAAATATGTTTAAAAAAAGAAAATTCAGAAACTGATTAAAGTACAAATGTATTTTTATGAGTCTAATATATGGTAAAGATGGCACTCTAAATTAGTGGAGAAATATTTTACAACAAACTGAATTCTGTATATCACCAAAAATAAATTCCTAAGAAATTAAGGATTTAAATGTAAATTATGATGCATAAAAGTGCTGTGTGATAATAGGAGTGAATATATATATTGTCTATGATTAGCAAGACTTTTTTTCCTTAAAATGTTTATTTATATGAAAAGAGGAAGAGTGGGAGAAAGAGAAGGAAAAAATATTGATGCGAGGTAGAAACATTAATCAATTGCCTCTCAACCATGTCCCAGTTGGGGACTGAACCCCAACTCAGGCATGTGCCCTGACCAGGAATCTAATTGGCTACCTTCTTCCTCTTTGTAGGATCATGCTCCAGCCAATTGAGCCACACTAGTCAGCGCTGGTTAGGAAGACTTTAAATGTGGGCAAACAATTGACTCTAGTTGAATGTAAGCTTTTGTAAAGGCAGGGACTTGGTTATATTCATCATTGTGTCAGTCTCATTGTAGGCATTAAATAATTGGTTGAATGAGTAAACGAATTTGCATAAATATCTTAAAATTTTCCTTTTACAAATAAAATGTATAAAATATAAGTATGAACAAACTGGGAAAGGATTGATATCCTTAGATGATACCCACTTTGTAAAAGCTGACTTAGTCTCTAATGGCTTGATTTATATCAGAATTTCAAACTTCTCATTCACATGAAATAATGGTGATCTTCAAGGAAATCAAAGAAATTGTAAAACAGCTAAGTAGATTTTATTTTATTTATTTTATTTTATTATTATTTTTTTAAATATTCTATTTATTTATCTTTAGAGGGGAGGGAGAGAAACATCAATGTATGGTTGCCTTTCATGCATCCCCTGCTGGGAACTGGCCTGCAGGAAACCAGCATGCAACCCAGGCATGTGCTCTGACTGGGAATCGAACTGCGATCCTCTGGTTCGCAGACCTGTGCTTAATCTACTGAGCTACACCAGCCAGGGCCTAAGTAGATTTTAAAAGATTAAAAAGAATGGGAAACCTAGTGTAACAAGAAGGGGAAATGGGCACTGTCACTTATTGTTGATAAAAGTGTATACTGGTGAAGCCCTTTTAGGACACTGTCTTCTCAGAAGCATTCCAGACAATCATGTCCTTTGAATAATTCTACTTCCAGGAATTTCTTTTTAAAACACACAGTACTCAAGTGCACTACGAAGTATGCATTTATAATGATGTTCAAAAAGCATTGCAAAAACTGACATGTTCAACAACAGGAAATTTGATGTATAAATTAAGGCACGAGTGGAATGTGTTGTTTGACGTAGTTATTTGTGTACTAACATGGAAAACAGTTACTCTGTTGTTCAATGAAAATAGCTAGTTTTATAGGAACATTTTGTTATGATCCTGTTCATTTAAAAAATATGTAAATATAGGAATGGTAGGGGACCTCCATGAAAATGTTAATACAGGTTATTTCTGTAGCAAAAGGTTCTTTTCACCTTATTGATACTTTTTGGTATTTGTAAATGAGTGTGTGCTCAATTTACAACATTCTGAACCTCTTCCCATGAAACAGATTATTGTATTTTATTTACAAAATTAATATAGCATTAAGTAACAAAAAGTTACAAAACAGAATGTTTGAGTTTATATTCTAAACCATGTAAAAATGTTTAGAGTGATATACTAAGATGGTATGTTGATTTTGTTTAGGTGGTAACATAGGTAGCTTCTTTTCTGCCTTTATTTTCTATATTTTGTACATTAACATATATGCTTGTAATAGAGTGATACAGTAAATGTTTTATTTCTGAATAGATAAGATTTTCTCTGAAACTACATTTACCGTTGATGAACACTATTTTAGAGGTAGAGGGGTATAAATCCAAGATACAATTTGCATTGACATTGTTCTTTTATTTTAATAAATGTGTTGTTTTCTTTTTTTAAGATTTTGTTTATTTATTTTAGAGGGAGGGGAAGCGGGGAGAAAGTGGGGGAGAGAAACAGCGATGTGTGGTTGTCTCTCACATGCCCCCTACTGGGGACGTAGCCTGCAACCCTGGAATGTGCCCTGACTGGGATTTGAACCAGCAACCACACCAGAAATTGGTTCGTAGGCCGGGACTCAGTTCACTGAGCCACACCAGCCTGGGTGACATTGTTCTTTTATACAGTTTGGCATTTAAAATAAGGTGTGGTTTACACATACAAAGTAGAGTATGCCTTCACTTATTTATTTATTTTTTAAATAAATATTAAGAAATCTCCTCCAAGTTAAATATCTAATAGATTGGGGCATCTAACATATGCATTTGACATAAAATTAATAACAAAGGAAGCAAGGAAGAGTGTTAGGAAGAACAGAGAGCAACAAAATAAATTCCTGGGAGAAATACTGTGTAGTCCTTGAGGCATTTTGTGGTTTCTCAGAAGTTATAGTAGCAGATATTCTCTGCTTAAATGTGCTCTCTTCACTTTAATTGTCTGCCTGATTTTGCTGTAACTTCCTGTCTCCAGGAATAGGAATGGGGAGTGATTTGAAAGTGGGATTTCACAGCCACCCAAAGCATAATAGAAAGATTCCAAGTGCTTTACTTTTTCTCTTGCTATATTTGATTCCACTTTTCCTATTCATGAATCTTTGATTTTGTTTTGTCTTGTTTGTTTTTTTTTTTAATTGTCTTCCTGGTGATCAGCTTGTTGCTTCAGAAGAAACTTCATAAGTTTGAGTTGGCCTGTTTGGCCAACCTTTGTCCAGAGACTGCTGAGGAATCCAAGGCTCTGATCCCAAGGTTAGTATGAGTTATGTTAAGTTCTGTGTATTGGATATATTCCTACAAGTGGAATTATTTTGTCTAAAAAGTGTGTGCATTTAAAATCTGGATAGATAAAATATTGAATGAGAGGGCCTTTTTAAACAATGTGAGAATGATGATTTTATAGCATACCAACTGTTACCAAAATGTGGAACAGCTGAAACTCTCATACACTGATGGTGGGGGTGCAAATTACTACAGTCAGTTTGGAGACCAGTTTGGCTAATTGGCATCTAATAAAGTTAAAGATGAATATACCCAATGACCCCCAAATTTCCTCCTGGATACATGCTCTAAGAGCCACTCTTTTCCTAAAAATTGTATTTATTTACTTTCAAAGAGATGGGAAGAGACGGGGAGAAGCATCAGTTGGCTGCCTCTTTTGTATGCCCCCACTGGGTACCTGGCCTGCAACTCAGGCATGTTCCCTGACTGGGAATTGAACTGGCTACCTCTCAGTTCGCAGGCTGGCACTCAATCCACTGTACCACACCAGCCAGGGTTCATACACTTTTTTTTTTAAGGATTTTATTTATTTATTTTTAGATAAATAAATAAGTAAAGATAGGGGAAGATAGGGAGAAAAGGAAGGGAACATCAGTGTGAGAGAAACATTGATCAGTTGCTTCCCAGGGACCACGTCTGCAACCTAGGCATATGTCCTTACTGGGAATTGAACAAGTGACCTTTCAGTTCACAGGCCAGTACTCAGTCCATGGAGCCACACCAGCTAGGGCTCACTCATGTACTTTAAAAGGGGATGTATATTCCAGTGTCCGCTACTGCATGGTTAGTGATAGCAAAAACATGGCAACAATCTGTCAGTCAACAAGAGACTGGACAAATAAATCATTATATAATCATACAGTATTTATTTTATAGCAGTGAAAAAATCAGCGAACTAGAACAGCATGGAATAATGTCAACAAAGGCTCGAGTGAATTTTCAGCAAAAAAAAATTGCAGAAAGATACAGTATGATGCCATTTCTTATGAAGTTTAAAAAACAGCCCTGCATATTGCTTATAGATATATTTTACACATATATAGTAAGTATAAAAATATGTGTAGGAATGATAAGTACCAAATTTAGGATAATGGTTACTTCTAGGGAAGAGAGGTAAAGGTGTTGGGATGGGGAGTATGCACAGTCATTGGTTTGTTCCTGTTATGCTCATTAAATCTAGATCAAGTAGGGATTACTGTTCAGATTAACTTATTTTCTATACCTTTATATGTTTGAAATACTTCATGATGTTTTTAAAAGGAAAGGCAAGAAATAAATATAGTTGAAAGGTAAAAGTGTCAGTGTTTGGGGGTAAATGGAGAGGTGGGCAAGTGGTGCTCAAATATTGGCATGCATTAAAGATAAGTGTGGGGAACATTGTCAGTTGCTGAGACTTGCTTCTTTTGGTTTTCTTCTTGTAGCCTGGAGGGGCGGTTTGAAGATGAGGAACTGCAGCAGATTCTTGATGATATCCAGACCAAGCGCAGCTTTCAATATTAATCTCCAAACATTACTACTTAGGGAACCATATCCCCAGCATGACACTACTGTCCCCCAGGACCAACTTGCACAGAAATTCTATCACAGAAGACACTTGGGTATTTGGATACAACCATCAGCTTTGTCTTAATCTGGGTTGCTATTTCAGACTTGACTGTTAAATCATAATGACCACGTTATCTTGGAGAGGACTTGCAGTGGCTGCTTGTGGCTTCCTGAGCTTTCCTGTGGAAAGGCTGGGGTGGGATAATGAGCATATAGAGCTATGGTTTTTTGCCCCTGTGTTATTTTTTATTCCTAATATTATTATGCTTTGATTTCAATGTGTTTCTAGTTTATGAAACTGTACTAGAACCTATAAAACTGGTATGGGGAATACTCTTACCTAAATGCAAAAGAAAGAATTAAACCAGACCTGTACATTGTCTGAGATTCTTGAAGATTGATGGTAGTAGTGTTAATGACCACACCAGAGCCTTGGCATTATTGTGCTTAACACAGGAGACTGGAAGAAGCTCACTATGGAAAACAGTCACAACTGAGGATAACTGTGCTAAGTATTGTAGGGCCAAAGCCTTGAGGTAGACAAGTACTTTTCCTTTTTTCTTACTGTTGCAGAATGTAGTTTTGGAGTAGGTGATCCTAAAGTACTTACTTTATCATTCCCAAATTTAAATTTTTTTCCTTCATCCGCCAGACGTGAAGGTCTGAACACTTTGAAGTGCCCTTTTAGGTAGCATCCCATCCAAACCTCTAGCTTGCTGCTTGGCAACAAGTGTTATCAGATGGGGGTAATTTGGAAGGAGGGAGCCTACCCATTCCTCAGTCAGTACAGTGAAGTTACTCAATCTGATACAAGTTGGAGAAAACATTTTAATGGCTGAACATTCTAACTTTTATTTTTATGAAGGGAAATATGCCTTTCTCCCCCCCCCCCCAACACACACACACACTTTGGAATTCTTTTTTCTTCTTCTTCTTCTTCTTTTTTTTTTTTTTTAGCACTTGTTCCAAATGAATTTATCCAAGGAAAGGGTTGAGGAAAAACATTGACTGTAAAGGTCAAAATGGTTTTGTGTTAGTTGCTAAAGCAAAAATAAAATACTCCTATTTTTATAAATTCTTTCAATTTCTCAAATGACATGGTTTTGTCACCAGTATTCTTATTAAATATTTAAAGGAAATGACAGTTATTCCTCAATTTAAGAAAAATTGAAGTAAATAATGTTTTCATCCTTGGACAACTTCTTTGAGACCCATCAGTGTTCTCAGTATTATCCACATACTATTAAATACTATTAATTTTCTCCTCTATAATTTTGAGAAGACTGAGAAAATATTAAAAGCCTATTGGTAGCTGACGTACATTATGTTCCAATAAATGTCAAGTATTATGCTCTGTGGATGAATATGTATACATAAGGTGATAAATCAGCTTGCTTCACAAGAATTCAAAGAAATGAGGAGAGTCTTAGGAACCTCCAGGACATCTTTAAACGCTCCAACATCCGAATTATAGGGGTACCAGAAGGGGGAAAGGCACAGCCACCAGTGGAAAACTTATTTGAACAAATAATATAGGAGAATTTCCCCAATCTGGCAAAGGAAATAGACTTCCAGGAAATCCAGGAAGCTCAGAGAGTCCCAAAGAAGTTGGACCCAAGAAGGAACACACCAAGGCACATCATAATTACATTAGCCAAAATTAAAATGAAGGAGAGAATCCTAGAAGCAGCAAGAGCTAAGGGGACAGTCACCTACAAAGAAGTCCCCATCAGACTGTCAGCAGATTTCTCAAAAGAGACCTTACAGGCAAGAAGGGGCTGGAAAGAGGTATTCCAAGTCATGAAATCCAAAGACCTACAACCAAGATTGCTCTATCCAGCAAAACTTTCATTTAGAATGGAAGGACAGATAAAGTGCTTCTCAGATAAGATCAAATTCAAGGAGTTCATCATCACCAAGCCCTTATTATATGAAATGTTAAAGGGACTTATCTAAGAAAAAGAAGTTAAACATGAACTGTGAAAGGACAACAAACTGACAGTTATTAACAACCACACCTAAAACAAAAGCAAACTAAAAGGACAGCTAGATCAGGTTGGAAACAGAAATGAAGATCTCAAGGAGGGTTAGCAAGAGGGGAGTGGGAGGAGGAGAAGGGGGGAGAAGGTACAGAAAATAAGTAGCATAGACAGTAGATAGAAAATAGATGGGGGGGGGGGCAAGAATAGCATGGGAAATATAGAATCTAAAGGACTTGAGACACATGGTCATAAACTAAAGGGAGGGTAATGGTGGGGATAGGGGGTAGGGTGGAGGGGAATGAAGGGGGGAATAGAACAACTGTAACAGCATAATCAATAAAAAAATTTTTTAAAAATTAAAATAAAAAAAAAATCAGCTTGCTTCATAGAAGTTAGTACAAGACTTTGGTAGCATATCAACTGGTGATGGTACCAGTCTATAAAAACAAACAAAATTGCTTATTCGTTAAGTATCCAGAATTACCTTTTTAAAAATTTTTTAAAATTTAATTATTGTTCAAGTAGTTTTGTCTTTTACTCCCATCCCAGCCCATCCCCCCAGTGCTCCCCACCTCCCTCCCATTTTCACCCCCCTTAGTTATTATGGGACCTTTATACTAGTTCCTGTAAATCCTTCCCCTTTTTCCCCTGAAATTCCCTCCCCTCTCCCCTCTGGTCACTGTCCCCCTGTTCTCTATTTCAGTGTCTTTGTTTTTATTTTGCTTGCTTGTTTTGTTGTTTAGCTTCCTATTAAAGTTGAGATCATAAGGTATTTGTCTTTCAACACCTGGCTTATTTCACTCAGCATAATGCTTTCCAGTTCCATCCATGCCGTTGCAAAGGGTAGGAACTCCTTCTTTCTTTCTGCTGCATGGAATTACATTGTGTATATGTACCATAATTTTTTGATCCATTCATTTACCGACAGGCATCTAGGTTGTTTCCAGCTCTTGGCTATTATAAATTGTGCTGCTATGACATTGGGGTGCATAGGTTCTTTTGGATTGGTGTTTTAGGGTTCTTAGAATATAATCCCAGCAGCAGAATTGTCTTTTTATAAAAAAGATTTTACTTATCTTTAATGGGGAAGGGAAGGAGAGAGGGAGAGAAATATCAGTGTATGGTGGCCTCTTGTGTATCCCCTGCTGGGAACTGGCCTGCAACCCAGTCTTGTGCCCTGACTTGGAATCGAACCAAGATCCTTTGGTTTGCAGGCCCGCACTCAATCTACTGAGCCACACTAGCCAGGGCCAGAATTATCTTTTAACAGAGGCAATTACATGTGCAGGTAGGCACCAAGCAGTAGACCCAAAAGAGCAGACCTGGAAAGCAGACCTGTATCATAGCCCAGGTGCTATCTGGCAAGAGCAGTATAGTGCCACTGTCTTCACTGCTGTGCCCTTGGTATGCCAGGAGTCTCTGAGCTCTATGAAGGTGGGAAAGTATGGAAAATGCCAGGAAAATCGGCACTAATTAATGGTAGTAAGATAATTACAAGCACATGTTTAAAAATAACCCATACTAGGAATTACTTGTAAACCCTACCTCATGCTATATTCTAGATTCAAAACCTCATGAACACATTCTGGTGGGCATCGTTCTCTGCAGTCCTGGGCAGCTCTCTGTTTCATCATCAGGAGACCCTGCAGAATCTCTAATCATGTGTGAAACATTGTTAGGCCTACTGTACTATGTTTGCAAAAGCAGAAATAAAGGGCACATTGAAACAAAACAAAAAGATACGCTGTCAAACCCTCACTTCACCAGAAAGCAACCAGAAGAATCTTTTCTGAAAATTCTAGTCATTCTGGTTTTATTGAAATTATTAAACTTGAGACTCAAAAAATAGCATTACTGGAGGAACCTGAGCACAAGTCATTTTTTAAACATTATCTATTTAAGCTTATGTATAAAACCATCAAAGCCTACATAAAGATTTCTGTGTGACCAATTAGTGTTGTATTACTCATGGTCAAAAACAATCCAAATGATCACAAACTGAATTGATAAATATGATATGTGTTTTTTCAGGTTTTTATTCCAAAAAATTTTAAACATAAAAAAAAGCTAAAAGACTAGCACATTGATCATCTATATGTTCATCAACTACATTTAACATAACTATTTGTTTTATCTAATATTTTTGCTACAAAACATTTGAAAGCACATGACACTTCATTGAAATAGTTAAATGTGTTTTTCTGAAATGATTTCCTTAAGCACTATTGGACTTAGGATCATTGATAAGCATTTTCAAATATTAAACATTTAGTTCGTATGTTCATATTCAAATATCCCCTGGGGAGAGTCTGGGGCTAAAGTGCAGTTCCCATGTTGGTATAATTTAGTATTATATAAAAGCAGCTACCACTAAGGATTTAAAATGACACGTGAAAAATATTGAGGAAATACATGTGGTCACTGCTCTCAAGTTGCTGTAAAGAGCTCTGACTCGACAAAATACCTACATGCAACCCCATGATGAAAAAAGGGTCTAGATAGATTGTAGGCCCAAAGTAGATTTTGATCACCAGTGTGTCTGCAGGTGACACTTGGTCTCTTCATCATCAGTAGGAGGGCAGTTTGGAACTAAATGGGCAGAATGGTGACAGTAGAGTTGAGGCAGGTCTGCTGAATGTCACCAGACATGGAGTAACATTCAGACTTGAGTTACGTGGTGCATTTTACTTACGAGTAAGTATGTTAGAAACAGCGCCATTTTCAGAAGGATCAGTGGGGAGCTGCAAGGAGATCAAGAATGTACCTGAAATTATAAAATGAGATAGAGTTGAGGTTGTGGAGAAACAGCTCAGAAGATACCTGGAAATTTTGAAAGACAAGGCAAAGCTACCCAACAGAACTTTCTGTAAGGGACAAATGTTCTGTATCTGTGCTGCTCAATATGGTACCTGATATAACAGTTGAGCACTTGAGGGCAGCATGATAGGAACTATGTTAAAAACATGTTTTTTCATTAAAATTTTAAGTAGTTGCATGCACTTAATGGCTATTAGCACAGGTCTTAACTCCCAAGACAAATGTCTTGAAGGCCATTGAAATCAGAGGGTGTTGGCAAGATTAACAGTTTTCAAGAGCTGATGCGGACACCCAGTCCTCAGTGTCTGTGTCATTATGGATGGAATGAGACATTCACACAGACTACTGAGTCCTGTGGAGGAAAAGGGACAGCATGAATTCTCTCTCAAGTGGACCAAAAGCCTCAGCCCATGCAGTGACCAGCCTTCATTGGGTTTCTGGGCACATTACATGCTGTTCCTCATTTACTATGTACAGGTTGCTTTATTTAGGTAGTTACCTTTTACAGAAAACAAAGGAGCCAATGCTACTAATCAAGTCACAAAAGAGGGATATTTGCAAATGAAAAGGCAAAAGTGGTTGAACCAG